CCCGCCACACCCCCTCCCCTCCACTATACTCACCATGATCTCCAAGGGCCCTACCCATCCCTCCTGTCCACTCACTCTCTTCCTGGCTTTCTCCCCCTGCCCTGCAGCCTAGGTGTCTTAACACCCAGACTGGGCCCTGGGCAAACTCCAGCACCCTCAGAATGGCGTCCTGATGCTCTCTGCCAGCCCTCTGCAAGTAGGAGTACACACACACCAGCCACTTCAGCTTCCTTATGAGCATGCCACCTGCTGTTTCCTCTACTCAAAAAACCCTCCCCTCACTGGGCCACCACCTACTCTTCCTGTGGAACTCAGCTCAAAGTTACTTCCTCTAGGAAGCCTCCTGCAACCACCACCTCCCCATCAGCATTAAACACCCTGTTTTATCCAGCCTCTTCCCTGCCACGAGTACCTTGGGGACAGGAAGCAGAAAAAGTGTTTTAGGAGACAAGCCAGCAATGCCAGGGTAGGAAGGACCAGAGAGCAGGCTGCTGAAGGAGCCCAGAAGCTGGGTTTAGAAAGGGCTGGGTTTGAATCTGGATCTGAAGCTCTAGGCTAACTTGGGGACACAACATGGAGCATAAGCCTCCCTGCTTTGCTCTTCGCTGGCTGTGGCTATACAGCACCCTGCAGAGGGCCATGGTGAAGGTGAAATGAGAATTCAGATTAAATTCTCAAAAGAGGATTGGCACAGGAGGCCCTCAGTAAGTATTCATATTCTTCAAGTGAGATTCTTTTTTTATATGGCAGTGCTGGGGACTGGATCCAGAGCCTCTGCATTGAGCTACAGACCTTTAAAAAAACTTTTCAAAAAACTTCTTGAAACAAGGCAAGGTCTCGCTAAGTTGCCCAAGCTGGGCTCAAGCTTGTGATCCTCTTGCCTCAACCTTTCAGGGTGCTGGAATCGCAGGTGTGCACCACCACACCTGGCTCAATATTCTCTTTTGTATTGATGTACAATGTCTGGCGCAGAGCTGGGTATATAAGAAATGTCAGATCAACCATACTAAGCCTCTAGGGGTGGGTAGATGCAGGAGAGGAGAGGAGAGGAGTCTAGGGAGATTGGTAGGCAGTGCCCAGGTCATGCCAAGCCTCAGCTGCAAGCTGGAAAGCTTGTATTTTCCCCGGGAGCTACAGGAGCTTGAAGGGTTAAAGCAGAGTAGGGAGAGGCAAGGAAGGATTTACATCTCAGCTGGTACACAGGACTGCCTGCCAATTAAGGGGAAAGAGGGCACTGTGAAGGCAGGTACTATTGCCCAGCCCTCAGCTCTGAGGCCCCGCGGACCTCCCTCCAGTGTCCAGAGGGAGGGTTGCCTGGAAACACAGCTGGACACCAGCCTTCCTCATCAATGGCTGCACCAGGCAGGAAGACAAAGGATGCCCATCAATAGAGAAATCCAGGTTAGCAAGAGACCCAGTGGTTCCCTGGCAACTGGGGCTGAAGTAGGGCAGTACCCATATGGGGTGGCTGTGGGGGTAGCTAGGCACTGCCTGCTCCCCGTCCTTCCCTAAAAGGGGGA